ACGACGGATTCGATAGAGTAAATGACTGAAACACGGTAAACAGAAGATAAATTTGAGCAAAATATCGGGTGTTCCAGGAAAAATGGATCTCTCGGTATTTTGAGGATATCTCTTTCGATATCTGTTGGTTTTGACATTATCTTTCTTAATGAAAAGATTCGTCTTTTAATTCTCTACAAAAATGGTATGTTTTTTCTTATTATAATTATTGTTCATCATTTGACGAGGTTTAGTTCAAAAAGTAGTCGGAGAAACAGTATTTTGTAAAGCAAGTTTTTCACATCATAGATTGTAGTGGTTTAACCCTTTGGCTGTCAACATAAGAGTAAGAAAAAACGATTTTGCAGCAAATTTATTTGTTTTTTCTGGAAGAGTTCTATAGTATGCCTTAATAAAATGATGATCTGGGATGCGCACGGTGCCTAACGTTTGTTTTTACGCAAATGCGTGTGAAAAAAATACATTATAAGTGATTACTTTAGTTCACTCGAAGATGAGACTCCTGACGTATATATACATCGGCGACAGCCAAAGGGTCAATAGACATTTCTTTTGATATTACTTTTTTTCCACTTACCAGAATGCACAAATTTACCTCAATTTGAATAGATGATTGTGTTTAAATCTAGAGTACGTGACAGTCAAAACTCTTCATCTAATATAGAGAAAATATTGTTTTTGCATCAACTCAATCTTTTCTGAAGTTCTTATTTCTATGAATGATTCCGAAGTAAATCTGTCATTGCAATAGAACGATGCAATACCTGTTATTCATCACTAACTAAAATAGTCATTCTAAAACAATATTTTATTTATATTAGATGAGGAACTTTGTTCATCATATACTCTAGATTTTAAAAATAATGATCTATTCAAAATGGAGCGAATTTTTCCATCCTATCAAGTAGAAAAAAAGTAATACCGATAGAAACGTCTATTAAACAACTGCAATCTATAGAATGCATGGCACTTTTGTCTTAAATTTTACTTCCGAATAATCTAGAGATTACTGTAGTTTTAAACGAATTATCAAGGACTCGTCATACAATTTTTACCACATTTTGAATGAAATCTTTGTTGGAAACAGATTTGATAGACCAATATTTAAACAGGCAAAGATTCGGATCATGTTCAAGCTACACCTCATACCTTATTTCTTTTTACCTATACATTAGGTACAAGAACTTTGGAGGAATTGGTTTAGATTTGATCGATATATCTTGTCGATAACATTTCTCATTCAAATTTGTTTTAGACAAGAATAAGTACAAGAACAAGTACAAGTACAGAAATGCAAGGATATTTTTCGAAATTAGAGTCAAATCATTGGAGCTTTCAGTTGTACATATGAAGATACGGCTGGCTCGTGAACAGTCATTTTGGACAAAGGAGGTAAAGGGAGGTTATTACTTTTTGCTGTAGGAAAAGCGGGGTATGGGCGTGGGTGTAACACCATTTCGACAGTAGTATATACAGATTTTCTTCAAGCTTATAATAAATTATGGCAACGAGGTTTATTATTAAAACTTTCTTATCTTGAATGTCCACCAGCCCACATGCAATGGATAACTAATTCTTTTGTAGACTGTACTTGTATACTTGATATCGACGAACATCTATCTCAACCTATTAATATTAAATCGGGAGTACCACAGAGAAGTTGTTTCGCAAGTACAGCTTTTATTGTTTATCATCACGATCTTCCAGATATTTTTGATCAACCTGAACGTTGTCGTCTTTTCGTCGATGACTTAGCAATAATATATATATCTTCAACGCTTATGTCTTTTCAACAACTCATTAGCTTAGAAAGTAAAATCAACAAAGAGATGAATTATCTTTTAAAATATACTAGGCAATGGCATCAACCTGTTAATCCAGGAAAATGTAAATTTGTAATCTATTATTCGTGTGTTAAAACACCCAAGATTCGTTTATTTTTCAATTCTACACAAATAGCACAAGTTAAACAATTTAAATATCTAGGATATATACTTGATTTTCAATTCAGTTTTAATGATTTTATTAAACAACAACTAATAAAAATGAATAATGCATTCACCATTCTTAAATTCATCAACAAACAATATCCTATGTTTTTCTCATTGAAATATCAATTCGCCTTATTTTAGTTTAATCTCTATCATATATGTATTATGTTCCATTAGAATTCAAGAAAAACGTCACAAATTTTATAGAAAATGTCTACGCATTATCCATTGTCTACAATTTACGACTAATATTGAATTGTATGAGACGTGATCTCTGCCCACACGTGAAGATCGTTTTAAAAGAATTATACAAAAGTGTTTAAGTCATATTCAAAATCATAAAATGCAAATACTTAGTACTATTCATCAATATCAACACTTAAAAACAACTTTACAAAAATGTATTCCTCATTTATTCATCGGTCGACCAAGAAATAAAACAAAGAAATTTTATCAAAACAATAAACAAATATTATTTGATAAATTACTTACGTTCTGTACTAAGTGAATAAACACGATTAAATTTTTGTACAAACTTTTTCGCGGTTCAGGGTCTCATTAGTCAAATATGCAAATATAGCTTTTCTTCATTCATTCATTCAAGAAAGTTATGTGCAATTCTTAAGTGATCATGACTTTTGAGATACTCGATATAATAATTATATTTATAATTTATTGGATCATGATATTCTTAATAAGTACGATGACTTATAATATAAAAGAGAAAATAAATAAGTCTATTCTAGAGTATCACAATCAAAACCATTATGTGAAGGTAATCTTAATCGACCATTTATAAAAGATGTTAAAGAAATTGAAATACGTACAATGACGAGGCTATTGATTTACTTAATATGAGTATAAAACGACATCGTATTGCTTATATATAACTGAATATCGAATCAAATCATTCATATTGTGTTCTAGCAATACGTCTTATTTAATTTCATAATGATATTCCATCAACATCGCTCGTATGTCAGGGATATGTTTGTTATGATATAGATATTAACATTCATTCTTCTTCTATTTTATTATTTAAAGAATAAAGACTAAATGATATACTACAATTCACTTATGATTAACTAGAATTATTTTAATGAATAATCTTTGTTTACAACCAGACTATTCTACGAATGAAATTAAATCAAACAAATAATACGAACTAATTTTAAAAGTTGAGACAAAAAAAAGAAACGACAATATTTGCAAAATAAATCTAATGTGTTTTTGTGTTTCAAAGAATCAAACAAAATAAAACTATTTTTAAGTTGGTGCTGATACCCATGAAAGATTATCATCATCATCATCATCATCGTCATTATTTTCAGGTTGCCAAAGTAATGAAGTTCCTCGTTTTATATTAAGAGATATCGGTGTTTCTTGTTGTTCTTGAAGTTTCTTGTCTAATTCTCGAATATTTTCTTTAAGAAAATTAGTTGCCACCTAGAATAGTAATAATGAAACACACATCTTTTCTAATGCTTAAAGGGAAAAAAAAAGAAATTACTGCTGTGGCTAATAGATTAACCATCGGAATGGTATTTAAGTATGTTAAATTAAAAAATCGATCAATTAATATAATTAATTCAGAATCAATAACACCTGACGACAATGAATTAAGTAAAGGTTTTAATACTGGACTAACAAATGATTCAGATTTTTTCTTCAAATTTTGTTCTAGTAAAATAAAATTTCATTTTTATCAAAAACAACAAGACTCAACTAATAAAATATCTAATTACCTTTTTCTAATTCTGATGTTGTTTTTAATTGATTATATAATTTACGTGAAAGAATTTCATCAATTTCATTTGGTGATAATGTTGATGATTGTTCATGAGTAGCTATATTCGTAATCAAAGTTGGTTTTCGATAATGACGATCAAAACAATCTAATGTATGCCATGAATCTCCAAGAAGATAATTACTTGATAAAGAAACACGAGGCATTGTATTCAAATGCAATAAACTGATCTACATAATGAATAAAATAAAAAAAATTAAAGTTCTATGTCACATGGTATTCAATGCGATTGTTTTACTAGAAGATTTTTGTTAATATTAAACTAAATTCGCATATATTCTTAATTTTAAATTTAATATTGTTTTTTTGTTCCCACAAAATTTCAATAAAAATAATAATAATGATTTCTAGCACCATCTATTATTCAATTGCTGATAGAACGATTGATTCGCACAATGAAATAATTTCTCTTTTTTTCCAAAAGAAAAAAAAAATTTTTTTAAAAATCATTACATTGTTCGATTCAAATTTGTTACATCAAAGTCTTCATTTTTATCATAACATTATGTTTAAAAAATTTAATGAAAAAGATAGCGTATCAAGTGTTACTCAACTTCGTAATACAGATGTTAAACGTCTTAAACATCGTTTACAAGAAGATTTTCCTCATATTACATCTGTATTAGATGAAATTTTACCTAAAAAAGATACACCAAAATTAGTTAAATGTCAAGATCATATCGAATTAATAACTGATTCAACAGGTCAACCATTATTTTTTCGTTTTCGAGATTCACCATCATATATACCATTATTACGTTTATTACATAAATATCCATTTATTTTACGTCCTCAACGAGTTGATAAAGGTGCAATACGTTTTGTACTTTCAGGAGCTAATATAATGTGTCCAGGTTTAACATCTCCAGGTGCAAAATTATGTGATGCACCAAAAGATTCAATTTGTGCTATTACAGCTGAAGGTAAAGAACATGCATTAGCTATTGGTCTATTAAAAATGTCAACACAAGATATACAACAAATAAATAAAGGCATTGGAATTGAAACATTACATTATTTAAATGATGGTCTATGGACTGTTAAACAAGGTTTTAAATAATTTAGTTCTATTTTTTGTTTTCTTTAATTTTGATTTTTGAGAAAGTTGAAATATAAGAACAGGAATATAAGACGATACTGAAGAAAAAATAGAGAAAAAAAAATGAAACATTGTTCTTTTTAGTATTTATTTGTTTCAGATAATGGCAAATAATGTTGTTGTTGAAACACATTATACACAAAATATGAATCGTTCATTAACAGGTGATTCTGAAACATATCAACAATGTAATTATCAAACATTTCAAATGCTTGTCCTTTCTGTTGTTGATCAATTAAATAGTATGTAAAATAAGAAAAAGCAAAATAAAATAAAATATTATTATATTATTTTTCTAGCTGATGAAGTTCGACTAAAACATCTTCATAATATTGCTGAAAATATTGAAGTAAGAAAACGCAAAAAAAAAAACCAAATTTTATTTTCAAATGAAAAACAAAAAAATTTCTTTCTTATTAGATTCTTTCGACTTTACCAAATTATGCAATATATATTGATTTATTAGTTAAAAATTTTCTTAGATCATTAATTGAAACAGATACTGTATTTATCATACCTAGTAATGCACAAGTATGTATTAACTTTTCAGAAATTTTAAAAATTAAAAAATGTCTATTCTTATATTTAGTACAGTTATTGTTTAAGAATATTTCTTGAGGAAAGCATAGTTTTCCAAAATGAGGAAAAAGAAATGAGTAACTAACTAATGGGACTTATAATATAAATGGAACTCGGAAAAATTAAAAGTACTTCACAATTGGATAAAAAAATTTAAATTTTTGCTTCGTCTTCATTTATAGAACTTATAAAGGATATACGTCATAAATGGAATATAAATTTTCTTATTTGACTAACTTTTAACTTAAGTTCTGCCTAGATGCTAAAAACTAAAAATAGACATACTACGTACACAAAGACGGGTATGAGTCGCGTAGCGCTGCGACACCAAAATAAAAGGTCATTTACGTAATATTCAGATTGTATAGAAAATTCTTTTTGCACCCCGCACAGATGAAACCAGCCGGTTGTTACTCATCCATCTTATGAATTTTTTTGCTCTTAGGATCTCATAGAGGATGTGTAATGAGATTGTTGAAAATTGACTCTGTCAAATATGACTATCTACAGATAAAATACTACGACAATTCGTTAGTCCAGCGTTGGTATGGATTTCAGATTGGTTCCATCTCGAGCGCTCGAAATGTTCTGTGCATACACGTTAATATAGTTTGACAATGTTACGTGTTCAATGTAGAAGAAACAGAAGATTGTATATTGCCACTTGTAGATTGTATAATAAATAATATGAATGAATGCATTTATATTATAATTCGAATAAGATATCTTATGAAATAAATATTTATCAAATTTCGTTTATTTTAACTTAGTAAAAGTTTAATTATTAGAAAAGATTTCTATTGATACGAATATCTTTCTTCTTGTATAGACAATTCGGAAACAAATGATTGAAGTTTTTCATCGTTTACCAATAACTGAAGCACTTCGTGGATTTGTTAAAGATATTCTTTCTCCAATGTTTAAATTATTAACAAAAGAAAATGAAGAAAATGCATTACTTTTATTACGTATTATTGTTGAATATATGAAACAATTTCGTCCACAAATGATAATGGAAGTTCGTGAATTTCTTCAATTTGTTCATAATGTTTATCGACAAAAAGCTTCAGCACTTGATCAAATTTTTTTAACAAAAACATTTTCTCATCCAACATTAACAATTAATGAAATTGATTTATCAAGTATTATTGAACAAATATGTACATCTGTTAAATTAATTGTTAAAAAAATTCAAAATTTTCCCGTACAATCATCAATAACAACAGATGAAACAACTAATTCAACACCACATGCTGTAACAGATACAGTAATATTTATATTTTAAATATATAAAATCTTTCATACATATATATATATATATTATTTGTTATTTATTTAGTTTACAATTCTTTCTCGTGCATCACATTCAGTAAAATTATTAGCTGAATTTCCAGTTGCTATTGTTCTTCTCTATCAACTTTGTCGACAATCATTACAAGCTGAATTTGGTGAATTAGTACCATTATTTTTAAGATATCTTACATTACAACCAAGCAAAGAACAAAAGTTTGTTTATCAGTGCCTTTTTTTTTGTTTTCATATTTTGTAAAATATTGAATATTTATGTTTTTTTAGAATTGATCCGAAATTTAATATGGAAATTTATATTGAATTTCTTACAACACAAGCAAAAACATTATCATTTCTTGCTTTTGTTGGTAAAACATATCAGGTAGAAATTTGATCGGTTTTTGACTTGCTATTTTTCCATTAACTATAATACATTTTATTTAAAAAAAAAAAGCTCTACAATTTACTAACAATAAATCATAGATTTTTTTATTTTATCCTAAGAGTTTTATAAAACTTCTTTTTTTTTTATCTTAATAGGAACAATTAGCATTAAATAGTGATTTATTAGTAATTGCAATTTTTCAATTACTCGATGGTTGTCCACCTGAAAATGTTCAATTACGAAAAGATATTATTGTTGCTGCTCGACATTTTGTTTCTTCAGATTTTCGAACATGTAAGTTATTCTTATATATATATTAAATAAATAAATAATTTTATTTTAATTCTAGTATTCATTCCACATGTTAAAAGATTTTTTGATGAAAATTTATTACTTAGTACAGGTTATACTGCACGTGAAACACTTAAGTTTGTTATTTAAAGAAATAAAATTAATACTTAATTTAAATTATTTTTTGTTTTTTAATTATTTTAGAGCATTAGCTTATAATACATTTGGAGAATTTTTTAATCATATACGTGCAAGTTTATCTATTGAAGATCTTCAAAATGTATTATATATGTATTCAAAAATGATTCATGATTCAAGTTTACCACCAACAATACAAGTAACAAGTTTAAAATTTTTAACGAATATTGCAGAATCAATACGTCAAAAAGGATCTGAAAAAGTAAAAACAAAAAAAAAAAGTTTAAACAATAGATAGATTTATTTATTTATTTTGTTCATTTTTTAGTCTCGTGATCTACTTATACATGTTGTTGAAACTCTTGTTTTTAAATGTAAAAGTTTAGCTAAACAATGTGCTCATTTATCAAATAATTCTAATGAAAAAACGTATGTTCTTTTTTTTTTTTATGATTGTTCTTTTCAATACAATTTTATTCTATAGAAATGCTGTAACAATTCCATCTATTAATGAAGTTGATGTAACAACGAGTACATTGAATGAACTTGTTCAAAATATGAATGATATAACAAATAGAGAAAAAGAACTTCAACGTCAACAAGTATTGATTTTTTATTATTATCATTATTGAATAGGAGAAAATTCGCTGTTGAGTTCATTCATTTGACTGATTGACAAGTTGATGCTTCTCATCATGTCTTTTCTTGTTCTACTGAGTGTCAGTTATCATTTTATCGTTTGCTCAGCTCTGTTCTGGATTTACAAACAGACCTCTGTCTTTTCGTTCCTCCATAAGATTTCTCATTTTTATTTCGCCTGATTCTCAACTATAGTAAATTCAACCAAGCCGAACCTTTCTTCTACTTATACTATAAAGTGTTTAGGGTATCGACGTTTTTTTTTTTTTTATTTCAAAATATGAAGAATGGCTAATTTTTGCCAGTGCTCACAAAAACGTTTCAGTTTAAAACATACACTCATAGTGTAACAAAAAGTTTCAATTCTATCATGTGTATATCAGCTGAGAAAGCGCGCCACTATTTTTAGTCTTTGCGATATCCTAAATACTTTACTTATCGAGATTTATCTACCATAAAAAGTTCGAAAGTTTTCTTAACACAACTTCCCATTTTGATTTTTATTGAAATCTTAATTTAATATTCTAGTTATCATTAATACGTTTTCAAGCAACATCACCATTAATTTATACATTATCATCAAATGATTGTCGTACATTATTAAAAGTTCTTGTTAGTAGTTTACGTCATATAACATGGATATTAGCTGATGTTAAAATATCTGAAAATCTTGTTACACAACCAAAACAATTTGTACCATCAATAACAATTTTATATATAAAATTTTTTAAATATATTCTTCAATGTTTAATTATTTTTTTTGATTCAACATCAACAATAAATTCAAATGGAAATTCTTCAACAATAAATAATACAACTACAATAACACGTAATAAAGAAGAAAAAGAAATAATGGATATGATTGCAAGTGTATTTATTGTTATGCATAAACAAAATTATCGTGAAATATTTGAAAATAATTTATTATATTTTTATCAATGTGCTAATAAAAATCCAAATATAACATTAATTATGAATACATTATTACAACAATCACCATCATCAACAATACTTGTTGAATTATTACTTGAATTTTTATTACCACGTATAAATGAAATAGGTGAAACAAATAATACAAATAATGCTTGTTTAAAATTATTTAAATTAGTTATAAATAGTGTTGTTACAACAACATTAGCTACTGAAAATGAAAAAATTCTTCAACCATATTTAAAACAAATTATTTTACGTTCAATTGAATGTGCACAATTAACACAAGATCCATATAATTATTTTATATTATTACGTGCACTTTTTCGTAGTATTGGTGTTGGTAATCATGAATTATTAAATCAAGAATTTTTAACTTTATTACATTTTCTTTTACAACGTTTAAATGAATATCAATCATGTAAACATCGACAAAATTTAAGAGAATTATTTATTGAATTATGTTTAACTGTACCTGTACGTTTAAGTGTTTTATTACCATATTTACCATTATTAATGGAACCATTAGTTAATGCATTAAATGGTTCATCAACATTAATTTTACAAGGTTTACGTACATTAGAATTATGTGTTGATAATTTACAACCAGATTTTCTTTATAATCATATTTTACCAGTACGAAGTAGTTTAATGATATCATTATATCGTTTATTAAATCATTCAAATAATGATATTGCACAAAATACATTTCGAATATTAGGTAAATTAGGTGGAAATAATCGACGAATACTTAATGAACCACAACAAATTAAATATGATAATGAAGATTTTGATATTGAACAACAAAATGAAATTTATATACAAATGTTTTTTGAAAATGAATCTAAATCAATTAGTATACCTTTATTAAAAGTAAGAAAAGAGATCAAGTTTAAAAAAAAAACAAAACAAAACACTGTTAACAAGATTGTTTGATTCTATCTATTCTGAAAGACACATTTCTTTATCATCTTTTTACTTGATTGTTCAGAAATGTAATAGTTCATATATTATAAACGAGACATTTTTGATATATGATCTATGATCATATGTCAACAACATCTAAGGAATGAGAGTCCAGATTTTCACATACCTAACTTAAATCCAAAAAAGTTCTTTATCAAATGTACTATATATCAAGGTTTCCTAGTTAGATTATATGTAGGATTCGTCGGTTTGATCTGGGAACTGCTAAGATGTAGGTTCGAATCTGAAAACTTGGAACCTGATGTGCTCTAGTTGTCTGAGAAATGTGTATAGGGTGCCTTAGTCACCAAATACAAAAAAAATATCTTGGATCGTCAAAGCAACTGTTCAATTTAGATTAGAAAATTTCATTGAGAGTGTCAAACTACGGTTCGATTTTCTATGAGACAGTGTGAAATCAAATGATTTTGAGAGAGAAAGTTTATTGAATTAAATAAATATTTTATTTTTATTATAGATTCTTCAAACATGTGTTGATCAATTAAAATCTACTATTACTGATCAACATCAAATAAAACGTCAAGCATGGCTTATAGTTCGAAGTGTTCTTTCTGTTCTTATATCAAATGATGATGATCATGATTTAGTTACACATCTTTTAAATCATCCAAGGTTAATTATTATTATTTTTTTGTTTTTATTGATAATTATTTTCTAATATGTTCTATTTAGTTTTTTAAATGGTACAATATCTCAATGTCCATTAATATGGAATACAAATATTGATATAAAATCTAGTCATGGTCATATTTTACTTCTTCAATGTCTACATCAAGCTGCAACATGTAAAACATTAACTGATGATGTTCTTCCTATATTAAAATCTACTATTCAACATTATACATTTGTTTCATTAACACAACAAATAGGTAATATAAAATTTTTTTGATTTTTAAACATTGAACATTGAATACATCCATTCATAAAAATCAAAGACTCTCAGAGAACTTTTTCGTTAAGTGCAGACTTTGTAGTACTATCTACGATGATCATTTCAGGAAAAGAACTTCAACTTTGATGAATAAATAATGCATAGAAGCAAAAAAATTTATTCGACAAGTATTACAAACAGATAATTTATTCGAGACAAAATTTATTCTTTTGGTGCACATTTTTCAGTATAGGACAGTTTAGTTGAATTATGCTTAAATACTGTTTTGCTCTCGATCAGATTAACGCCATAAGAGATTTCTTTTCAGTAACTGTTAAAGCAGTCTTATTCTTTGTAGATGACATTAGTTCAAACATATTTTATTGTATCTGAAAACATAGTAATTTACAACGTTTTAGAAAATAACAGGTAATTCTATGCTCTATACTCCAAAGATCTTCTCACAACTTTCAATGATGTCACTCAGGTGAAAAAGGCTTGGAGCTAATATTTGATGGTATGTCTCTTCTGAAATTCTTGTTTTCAGAAGTTAGTGTACTCTATGAACGGTTTATTATTATATTATCGGACATAGAATTTAATTCTGAAATCTTTACATTGTTTCCAATTGTCGGAAAGAGTTTTCTAATTTTTGCTTAAGAAACTCTTCTTTCAATTGTTTTTGTTAAGATTGCGAAACATCATAAGATGCAGTACATTTCAACTGTTATGTAAACATATTTTTTATAATTTTTTGTTTTTTGACTTTCTAATAGCCGCAGTTCAATGATTGAGCGACTATCAATCTTTTTTCTGCAACACGAGAAACTTAGTTGACAGTTTGGTAGAGTGAAAAATTCTCTATCGAATGAGTTTAGAATAGTATCTTCAAAAAAAAAAAGAAAATCGAAATTTCCTATTCTTGATAAGTCACTCATTATTTTCTATTAAATCTCAATACATGATTTGTACTATTATTTTACATAAATTTCTCATTTATTCTATTTTAGGTCCTTTATCTTCTGAAACATATGATACAAATGATACTATTGATTGTTCAATAATTTTAATTGATAGTATAGTTTCTTGTTATATTGATATTGATGATGAATTAAATTCAATTGGTCGTATATCATTTGAAACATTATTTAATACATTACTTATAATATTTAATAATAATTATCAACGTATAACACAATTACCTATAATAAATTATTTAATACATACATTATGTAATCATTGTCATGATCGTATGTGGTATTCAAAACAAGGTTCATGTCGTTTTCTTTATCAATTATGTTTAAATTATTTTCGAAAAGAATCAAATTGGTTTTTAGAAAATTTAAATCAAATATTAAATGAATTTTTTCATGTTATTATATCATTAACAGATGAAATATCATCTGGTACATTAGATATAATATCAAATATGATAAAAGAATTTCTTGAATATTATGCTAATATTAAATTAAATGAAAATCTTAATGAAAATTTAATTGAATTATTACTTAATTATTTATTTTCACCAATAAATTATGTACGTAATTTAATTTATGATTGTTTACGTCAATTAAGTTTTCTATTTCAACAAACAATATTACGTTTAATTGAACCATTTAAAAATGATTTAATAAAAAAATTTTTATCATCAAATATATTACCATTTAAAAATCAATCATTATTATATCAAATAACATATTTAGATATATATATTTTTTTTCGTACATTAGAACCTAAAATAACATATATACAATTATATGATGATGATTTATTTAAAGAATTAACAACATTTTTATTTGATGAAAATGATTTAATTAAATCATCATCATATCGTTCATTAACACAACAACAATTAACATTAAATATGATATTATTAAAAAAATTATCTATACGTACATTAAGTGAATATTATGAACAAATTGAATATCGTGATCGTGTATTAAGATTATTTTATAAAATTTTAACAACAATACAAACAAATGAATTACAATTAATTGCATATGAATCAATTGAAAAAATTTTTAATGGTCATCAAAATGAACAATTACGTTTACGTTTTGTTGATTTATATATACAAAAAATACCATTTCATGATTATGAAAAATTAAATTTAACACCACAAATAGCACAAACATTATTTTATTTATCAAAATTATCACCAAATTCATTTGATGAACGTCTTTGTGAACAAATACTTAATTTAATACGACGATTAATGCAAACTATTGCACAAACATTTCGTTCAATTATTGATACACAAAATCAATTTTATAAAACATGTTTAATTTTATTAGATTTATTAGCAACATTACCAAGTTCAACAAAAAAAATTATTGAATCTTTAACAATTCTTATTTTAAAATTTGATAAACATCTTATGATTGAAGTAAGATATTTATTTAAATAAATAAAAAAAAAACATTTTTTGTTCTAAACTTACAAAAAAAGTCTTCCAACTAATAAGTAACTTTTAAATTTAGGACTATGTGCATCACATGAGCTATGAATACTCTGAGGCAAGTTCAAGTTCGTAGCTTATTGGGATAGAGATAATGCATTGTTATGATATTTTTTCAGTTAATACCGTGGTTGTGCTAAAGCACACTAAGAAAATTCATTTTTGAATTTCTACTTGAAACTTTACATAGAGACAAGACTTAACAAGAATAGTTTATGGATCTTTCACATTGCTGGTATACATCAGTAGATTCAATGTTTTCAGGATAAGAGCAAATAGAGAGATCTGAAGCTTTCATTATAAACTATTCTTATTAAGGCCTGTCTCTGTGCATAGTTCCAAGTCGAAATTGAAAAATTGATTGTTCTTGTATTCTTGAAGAGATCACGATATTGACTTAAAAAATATCCTAGTAGTGCAGTATTTTTGCATCAATAAGCTAAGAGTTTGAACTTAGTTCATAATTCATTAGAGTCTACATGATACACATAGTCCAGATTTGAAAGTGATTTATCAGTTGAAGGGACTTTCTTCGTTAGATAAAAGATGTCATTATATAAAGCAGCAATACTAAAATGAAGTTTTTTTGTTTTGATCTTCCATCTTGAAATTATTAGAATTTACATTGTCATGAACTAAGTGTTGAGCGAAATTGAAGAATATTTGATATCTATTAAGATTAATCAGATGCTGTTCAAGTCAATCTCAGAACTATGAATAAGTCTCTGAGATAAGCTTAGAAGGATTCAGATCCTTGTCTACTGGCGATACTTCGAGCATCCCGATGACTTACTTCTTGAAAAATACTACATTTTTTCGGTAAGAGTGTCTCTAATTTCATGAATTCTTTCAAAGAAGCTTTTACTAGAAATAAATAAGTAGAATTTTGAAAAATCGGATTTTGCTAAATTGTAGTGATAGATCTTAACTAGATTTTGACATCAACTCGAATTCTATTATCATTAGATTCTGAAAATAAATGAAAACATCCTTTGCAGTCATCGATATGATGATAACTCTTACACAGATCGATATTTTGTGGTGAAATTTTTGACTGTTAACTACACACATTCTCTTAAAGTTTTAATAGGAGAAGGACTTAATCATATTTAAATAATTTGAATTTTTTTTTTCTCTATAGTCAAGTAGTGCTTGTCGTAAATATTTAATTGAATTATTAATTCGTCATCCTCAATTAAGTCTTGATCAATTTATAAATGATGAAAATCGTTTACAAGATTTACAATGGAGTCGTCTTTTTCTTGATTTATTAAAAAGTTCATCATCATCAAATATTCAAACATTTGTACGTACAAATTGGCTTGATCGTTTTCGACAAATTCTTAGTGATCATATTGTTTTTATTGAAACAACACAAAATATACCTTCAATTATATGTATTACAATACGTTCATTATCAATATTAGCACGTACAGATCAATTATGGTGGTCAAGACAACATGAACTTGTTTCATTATTATTACGTTTATGGCGTTCAAATACATTTCAACAACATTCATTTTTATCATCCGAACATTTTGATTCATTTTGTACAAAAGAATTAAATAATGTTCTTAATTTATGTTTAATTTATTATAAATATCAACCTGAACGTATACGTTTATTACTTGAATTAACACGTATATATTCATGTATAGAAAAATTATTTTATCCAAAAAAATTTTTTCATTTTATACAAGATATTATTATAAAAACATATTCATTAAAATGGAAACGTGATGCATTATATTCATTTATAACATTACGTAATGATGAATCATATACATTAGAATGTAAATCATTATTTTTTGAATATATTTTATTACCATCATTTACATATGAATTTGAAAATAATAAAATACATATAAATAATGAATTATTTCAAATAAATCCAAATAATGATGAAACAATTATTGATTTATTTATACGTACAATGATTGATAAAAAATATCTTCATCAAATAAATGATAAATATCGTATATGTTTATTACGTTTTTTATGTTTATTTCTTGAATATAAACCACAATTAATATGTGATACAAATTCATCAATAACAAATAAACGTGATAATGAAAAATTACGTCGTGTTATGGAATGTGCATATGAAACATTATCAATGAATAATATTGATTCAACATTTAAATGTCAAGCACATTTATTACTTTGTTATATTATATCAAAATATCCTATTGTTAAACGTATAATAACAAATGTATTTACAAGTTTATTAAAATCATATATAATTGATGTTAAATTTTTAGTACGACAAGCAACTGATTTATTAATACCAGCTATACCAATACGTATGGATGATGGTTATGATATATTAGCTGAATATACAAAAAAAATTCTTTCCGATGATGCACATGGAAATTTACAATTAATGCATATTATGACAATTATTGTACGTCATCAAATAATTTATTTTCATGTAAGATATATATTAGCTAATTTAATGATACAATCAGCACAAAGAATATCAGGACAACAAACAAATTCAATGGAACATAAAAAATTATCTATTGATATTATTGAAGTTATTATTAAATGGGAATTACGAAAACATTATGAACAAATAAATGATCAAAAAAATTTTAATCGTTCATTAATTGATACAATATTTAGTTTTCTTATACGACATGCATGTCAAATTAATTTACAAAATATGTTACCTTTATCACAACAATGTATTAGATTATTTAAAATTGCAAGAAAATTTGCATGGCCTAATGTTGATGTTAAATTAACAACTTTTGAAAGATTAATACATCAAATTGTAAGTTATTAATATATATTAAATATTCATTGGATTATTTTTTCAAATATTGATATATATAGAGATAGAATTCTTGCAAGTATTTTATCGTTTAACAAGAAGTTATTTGAAATGACGACGACGATCGCCAAAATTCTTGAACAAAAGTAGCTACTCGTCACAAAGTGCTACGATTCTTTATCATTTTGAGATGATATATTAGATGTATACATGCGATAATAAACTCTGATTGTAAACACCAACTCATTCTCTATTGGTTTACATGTCTTTTTCCCCTTGTGAAAAGTATACATAGAAGAAATATGTATTCAAAAAGTTTTTGTTTGTCATTTCACAAACTACAAGACAGTACTATATGTCTACCTTAGTATCACCAAAACTTGTGATATATAGTAAAGATCTTCGTAATTAACATGCTTCGAGACAGTGAACCTATGCCATAGTGCTCATTTGACTTCATTCTATGACGTGTCTGTAAAACTTCCAGAAACCAGCATTCTTAATGAAAAGTCTATAGTTCAGATAAGATGATTGCAAGAAGAAGATCATGTGTAAATCGATGCAGAGCGGATTGATGTCTCAGACTAGGGTTTATTGTCACACGCATGTACCCGAAATATCAACTCTATATCATAAAGAATAATAACACTTCCTGAGGGACATTTGCTTTTGTCCAGAACTGTATTTCAATAGGACAACTATATATAGTACGTGGCGCGATAAGCAACAATTCTGACAAACCAAGCCGAGCCTCCAGAAGGGAGCAGCGTTACGAATCTGTCTTTCTACCTTCATTTTTCACTAAACAAACAGTCAGAACACGTAATACTGATACACGATCACTACCAACATGAACTTCAACATATCTTTGTTTAGTATCATTACTGTAAGGCGTTCAAAACATGATCCATATACTATAATATTAGTTTTATAAAAACATCCAGAGTATTCTTTATTATCATCTTTATTCGGCATTTCTTTGTTGAATTCGACTAACAGCTGTCTTTTTACAATCTTCGATGATTCAATTTTGATCATGAGTAGAACACTTCCCTTTAATCTTTTCTCATATAATACATGAAAAGTGATTTTCAATATTTGAAAAACTAGAACGTATTAATAAATGAAAGATAATAGTAAACTACAAATTTCTACGAAATCATCATCATCATCAATCTATTTCCTATCTCATATCGGCATTAAGATTCTTTTTTTTTGAAAAATATCTATAGACATATAAATACTCATCCTTTTCTTATATTATCCAATCTTAAAACTAAATATCATTTCTTTATATAATCAATTTATTCTTTTCAAAGGAATCACCAAATATTACAGCTCATAATTCAATTGCGATTGCTATTGATCTTCTTGCTTTTCTTATATCAACATTTACTGTTATACAAATAAAATATACTATGCGTACATTAAAACGTTCATTAATAACATGTGTATCAATAACAAATAATCCACGTTTAGTTGAATCAATGCAAAATCTTTTTAGTAAACTTATTATTCAAATTCCTATTGAACCACCAGCAGCTATTATTCCTACAACAACAACAACAGCAACAACAAATACTCAACAAGGTTTATCACCACAACTTGTACAAGCAACATTAGCTTCATTAGCAACAGCAACAGCAACAGGAACAACAACAACAAATAATCAACAATCAATTTTAACAAATAATTTACCATTATCAACACATACAATAAGTAAAAGTGAAGATATTGAACAATTTTATACGATTATAACAAAAACAATTATTGATAATATGAATAGTACACCAACATCAATTGTTAATACAACAGATAGGTAAGCATTAATTTATTCTCTACAAAATCAAAAACAAAAAAAAAAAAAAAAAGAACAAAAGCAAAAAGCTAGAATATTAAATGTTTATTATTATTGTTGTTGTTGTTGTTGTTGTTTTTGTTTCTAAATGAATTTATTGACCAAAAGTTGCTTTATATGGATTAACTAAATTATCGGGTTCATTTTCTTCTTCAAAAAAATTTTTTCTTGTACATAAATCAATACTTATACCAGATAAAATCATACTAATCAATAAAATAATAAATAAAATACAACATATTGATAAACAAACAATTGATAAATCTCTATCAATACGTGTATAATTTGTCATTAAATTTTCATGATTTATTCCATAAATACTTTTCCAACCAGATATTATTGTTGAATATGTTGCTATTAAAAATATTAATAAACATATTGATAATAATGATAATATAAAAAATGTTAATATTAATGAATAATTTTCTCTTTGACCACTTATTATACCAAATATACCAGCACTTATAAATATTAAACTAAATAATAATGTTGCTGTTGACCATGGCCACATCCAACGATTTTCAATTTTTCTATTTTGAATTTTTTCATTCATACCAATTGTATTTCCTGGATACATTAAATATTTCATTGTTATATTTGTTTCATTTCTACCATAATTATTTGAACCATTATAAAGTCTTGCAAGTTCAGTTGATAATAAAATAATTGTAAAAAATAAAATTAAACTACCAAGTATTATACCAGTTAAACGAAATGAATAAATATATTGAGATCGTGGTAATAACATATTATTACCACCATATTTACCTACACGAGGTTGACGATCAGGTGCAGCGGCAGGAAAAAATTGAGTTGTATAATGATGATAAAATGTTGGAGGATGAATTGTTGTTGTATACATTTTATATAATTTAATGATATTCTAATGCAAAAAATTATTTGTTCTTGGTATTAAAGATTGTTTACCTTTATTAATAGTATAACGATTGACCGATTGTATAGTAAGGGAAAGATTGAATGAATATATTGTAGAAATGGATAGATGAAATATAAATGAAGAGAGAAAGAGAGAGAGAAAGAAAGAAATTGTTGACGAGTTCAGACATAGAAAGGATATTTTGATGCTTATTCATCCATGACCATTGTCCGATAGATCAACTAGAAGAGTAAAAACTATTATTGAACGAAATGTATATGATAGATATATATATATATGCTTTTAATATAAACATATATTATCATATATGCCTTTTATGAAAAATTTTATATCTAAAGAATGTATTCATTAAATTAAATTAAAAAAGAAAATATTAAAATAATCTATAGTTAACTAAAAAATGAAAGAAATTATTAAAAATAAGCAATTTCACAAAAATTAAATTTAACTTTTTCTTAATTATTTTTGGAATTGAAAAATTCATTTATTCATATTTAAAATCTTGACAAAAAAAAAAAAAAGAAAAATATTCATTTCAGTGCTAGAACAACAATTGGAGCTAATACAGCAAATGTTTCATCATCGGGATTTGTTTCTATTCATACACTTCCTGTTGCTTTTGGTTATTTAAAAATAATCGAAAAACAACAACCAAAATATGTTGATAAATTAACATTACATATTACAAAATTATTACAAAAATTAATTAAAGATCATACAAGTGCTGGCGTTGATTATAATCCCGGTAAAAATTATAAAAAAAAAAACAATAATATAACGATAGAAATCTCTTATTGATCTATGTATTCTTTCTTTTTTTATCATAAAAAATAGCATTCACAGAATATATCATCGAATGTTTAACATTACTCAAATATCGTATTGGTCAATTAACAAGTGATCTTCGTAAACAATTTATGAATAATTTTTTACCAGTAAGTATATCAAAGGTCTATTAGATAAATATGATAGAAATAAACTTTTTTCTGTTAACAACAAGAAGAGATACGTATAAGAAGTTAATTTAACGTATATGAAAATGATTCATATAACTACTATAGATATATAAAGATAAAGTAATATCCATTTAATGATATTTTTATCCTGAAGTACTTCAATTTTTCAATGTATTTTTACTTATTATGTGATTTAACTCAATGGACATCACATTGTTCATACTTAGCGTCACTTGATTTATGAGAAGAAAAAAAACCAGTAGGAGCTCGATCAAAAACAATTGGGATTGATAATTAAACTGGGGAGGATGCAATGGCGCCAATGATCACCGGTCTTAGATAGAGTGCTGCATTGATCTAGACCATGCACGTATAGAATAATGGTGAAGACGGTGATGTTAGATTCATTTCGTTTTTTTTTCGCTCGAGAGGAGATCTATTTCAAGAAAACTTTATAAAACATGACTAAACTGCGAGAACTAAACCTTTCTCGAACGAGAAAATTTCGACAAATCTCGATTGATGCACCGTTGCGTCCCTAAATGCAACCAATACTTTACTCACATTTCCTTCTTGTATTTGGAACCAGAACTTGCAGATCAATCATACTGTGCCCTATTCTGTAGTATAAGACAGAGTTAAGATGAGAAAAATACAAGAAGAGGATCGATTGAGGTTGATGTAAGAAAATATTTCTGAGTCAGGCTACAAAGCACGAAAAAAAAACCTTATCCTGTCCAACTCTACATAAAACTTTTTATTATTTTATAGTGTTTAATTGAAAAATCTCATGATATAACACTTGTTCGAGCTATAATTCGTCTTGTACATGATTGGCTTAAATGGCGTGGTGATGTACAATTAGTTCCATCATTAAAGGAAAAATCTCAATTACTTCTTAAACTTTTACAATGTATTGATAAAAGTGGCCGTTTTCATCAACAACAAACAAATGATAATGATTTAACAAATAGTTTTCTTGAACTTATTTTACATGTTTATCAAGAATCAAATTATCGTGAATTATGTATTAAATTAGAAGCAGCATTTGTTCTTGGTTTAAAATCAACAAATCAACAATTACGAAAACAATTTTTTCTTATCTTAGATAAAAATTTACGAAAAACATTACATGATAGATTATTATTTATATTTTTATCACAAAATTGGGAATATTTAGGACAACATTATTGGATAAAACAATGTCTTGAAGTAATTTCTATTTTGAAAAATTTTAATAAAAAAAAGAAAAAAAAAAAAAATATTCTTGATTTTTGTTTTAGTTATTTTATACATGTGTTTCATCAACAATTCCTTTATCAATTATTGATAATCGTACATCAATTTTACCATCATTAACATCTGTTATAAAATCTGGTGAATTTTATGATCGATATGATTTTATGGTTGATTATGCTAAAACAAAAAATCCATCATCTATAGAAAATGTTGGAATTAAAACTGAACAAACTTCCGATGTATCAATTAAAATGGAAGTCAATGATGAAACATCACCACAAAATCCAGCTTATTCAATTATATCAAATGCTCTTGGTGTTACTGCTATGAGTACGCTTGTAACAAAGTAAGATTACCTTTCTTTTGTGTTTTTTCGAACAGATTCTATTAAATTGAACTAATATTAAGAAAACATTTTCTTTTTTAAATTGGATTTAGATAAGACAATAAATTCTTTTGAGTAAACCTATTGGAATCTCAATGCTAAAATATGAGAAGTGTAGTATTTTTCATAAAGATAGGATACGGATAGTTTGCCTAGATCGATGTTCGAAACTGATTTTAATGACCAACTCTTGTTATACGAGCTAGATTATTGAATAAATCGTTTGTTCTATCCAATTAGTTTATGAGAGCTCCATTTTAAGTCACGTAAGCTGAAAAGAGATCGTCACAAATTAGTCTTATTGTATAAGATTAAATTAGCTTTTCAGATGGAAAGCATTGGATGGTCAATACTAGGTAAAATGCCTTAGATTAGCTCAAAACTCGATCGAATCCAAGTCCGGCACTGACCTAACAGATCACACTCTAAAAGTAATACTACGTCATGACTTTGTTATTATAAGACTATCGTCAAGATCACCTGAGATATACATAGAACATGTTCATAACAGAATACAACATAATCGATAGAAAGTATTTCGCACAGACTATCAGCCTCAGACTAAAAGACTTTGTTGAAATTAGGAGTACGCTTGAAGTCCGAATTCGAAAATGTTTAACTTGCCGATTTCTAATACTAATTCCGTTAGTCGATATTGAACTATCACACAACTAATCGCATCGCGATAGAGAAAAGAGAAAAGATAACTTATCACAAGATAGAAATTTTGAATTGAATATTTCTTTAGAAAACAACGTTCAACATCAATTTCTCTTAATGAATCAAAACCTAAACATTTTAAACAAACAATTTCATTTGAAAATATACGTCGTTTACCAAATGATAAATTTGAAGAAAAATTTCAACGTGAAACAACTAATCAAATAAAATTAACTGAATTAATTAATGATGAAATAAATTTTTTAAAAATTCTTTCATCAATACAATTAAAATCAAATGATTTATTTGATTCTATAATACAATTTTTACATACAAATAATTCAATTCTTATTGATAAATTAGCACATTATTTATTTATTGATATTTTACCTAAAATTCTTCGTATTATATCAGAAAAATATCGTATTATTTTATTTCAACAAATAATTCAACCATTTTTTATTAGTGGAACACATTTACAACAACGTGATTTATATCCATATAGTTCATTAAATACTTTACTTGAAGCTTTTTATATGATGTTTAAAAATAATAATAATTTATCTGAATTTGTACCTATTATACGACCAATTATACTTAAATATATTGCTAAAACACATAATACATGGCATAGAAGTATTCTATTACTTGAACAATATATATTAGATCAACAATCAAATAATGGTGAGTTAGTTCTTAATCAAGAGGAAAAAAAAATAACAGGATCTCAATTTTTGTTGTTGTAATGAAATTTATTAAAGAATAAAGATGTAGTCAGTAGATGCAATCAAAATTTGACGAAAGTCTAGACCATAGTATGCATTGAA